TATTTGCAGTTTCGGGGTATCTCCTTCGACATCGTTATGGATTGGGGAACTTTCTTCTATCTCCGGCAATATGATTATGAAGGCGATGCCCAGTGCAGGGAGATCATGCAAGATCTGCACGCTGAACTTGGGTCCAGAGATATTTTTGCAGCGTTGCGCTTTTTCAGGTATATGCTTGAAGGATCCTGTAGGGAGAAATTTTACATGGAACTCTACAAACATGTCATCTTGCGCATACAGTCAAATCCTCGGCCACAGTTCTTTGCAGAGGCACTGCGAGACGGCTCAGGGTTATCAGCAGCATGGGACATTGAAGATGCAGCAGGCCCCACAGCTATGCATGGCACAACAGGGCAGTGACGCATTCTTTCAGTGTACATGGCTACGTGATGGCTGTTGGCTGGTCCCTCAGGAACTGACAGGTTACCGCAACGAATGTACTACAAGATTCTACAGCTGTCCTGCACAGGATACATGGCACTGTGTGGATACCGACAGGTGCAAGCATGAACGATCGGTCCTTCTTCAAACCCACCGATACTACATGTGTTCAGGCTCAGCAAGCATATCGACTACTGCGTGGCTGTGCTATTCAGGGTTTGGACCTCAGTGGGAAAGTGGCTCAGTTTCAATGCGAGAGTACCGCATGTTCTTCTTCAATTGCGTCTTGTCGTCGCTGCAGCGGAGGGCTTTCGAAATGCATGTGATGTTCTGTGGTAGATCGCTTTATCAGCCTATCCCGTTCATACAAGCTGTTGCGCTTCTTACTCAGACTACGATCTCTCACGCAGCGGTGTACAGCATTTCATGTAATACTGTGCCATCCATAAACGAGACTTCCAGCCGAGTTCCTCCAATGTCAGATGTTTACACGCCGACCAATCCGGAACCGCGACCAGCCGGAGACTCCAGACCGCCTCTTCCGAGACGGCGAAATGATCGACATGTCTCTCCCGAAGCGCCTGATGCTATTAGGAATCCCATCTTGCGCAAGCGGAGCTGCCAGCGGGAGCCGTTGCCGCGAAATAGAAGCGAGAGAGGTGTTCGACGCAGCTGGACTACAGATCGGATGCTGGACGTGGAGCCCGTAAGTTCCCTTTCAATTAAGGAAGTGCCACTCTTGAGTCAATATGGGGATCCGGAGATCGTGCTACCAATGTCTACAGAACTTGCACAGGCACACCCACGTGGAGCCAAATTAATGGAGATCGACCTAGGTCCCAGAAGGATGAGAATAATCGATATCAGCGACATCCCACGTGGTCCTGGATCCTGGAGGGCTGCTGCAGGGTCGGATGCACGAGTTGATCGACATGCGGCGACTGCTGCTAAACCTAAGAGTGGCAATGGCACGAAGAAAGGTTCCGGTGTTCGTCTTCGACCTCGACCCAAATGGGAAGCTCGTCGTGTTGATGGTGCACATTCTGGCCAGGGTTCCTGCTCGGGATCAGCCGCTTCTTGAAAATCAGAGGCTCTTTGCGGGAGAGTATTCGTCGTGTCCAGAGCGATGTGAAACGTCGTACCCGGGTCCTTCTTCCACCGGCGTACCGGAAGACTACATCGAGGCAGTCCAGGAATCCAGATGCAGATGATGCAAAGGACACTGCAGTTACGTTTCAGCCACTTCCGACGGGGGATGCAGCTGCTATATCAACTGGGTCCGTGGACCCCAATGTGGAGCGGGCTGATGATGCGACTGACCCCTTAGAGGCTGACCCCTTAAAGGCTCGAGTGTTGTCCGACGAGCGTCGACGAGCGCTCCTTTTGTGGCAGAAGGAGCAATTTGTGCAACGAGCTGAGATGATGCGACAGAAGGCCTTGAGTACCTCGTCAACGGTAAGTGCTCCAACCGAGAGCGCGCCATCTGCTGCAGCTACTGTACAGCAGACTGCGAAAGTTCCTGAAGCGCCGCAGTCGGGGTCCGCATATACGAGATTGCTCCTGCCAGTGCACAGCACAAGCCCTTTTCTTGCGTCCACCACTCATTCTTTGATTTCGCACTTTCAGGTCATTTACAATTCCATCGAAGCCGTGCGCGGTCCCAAGTCCGCGGTCCACGTTGTGTTGAGTTCCGCCTTGATTGAAGACAAGTTGTACAACGTGGATGGTGCGAGGGTTGTGGTGGTTGCCGAGGCCATCACTGAAGCCGCTCGTGAGTGTAGACATTATGTATGTATCGCAAACCTACTTGGCAAACAGCGCGGCAATGTGCCGCTTGTACACTCAACTTTTGGCCACATTTGCATCATGATTCTCGAGCATTTGAATTCGCAGCATCTTACACTTTATCAGTTCATGTTATTCCGGGGTGTCGTGCCGCTCACAGGCGCGCTCTCAATCATTCCAATTTCCTCAGATCACGCATGTGGAGATGGTGGAGGTTTCGCAGAGCGCCGGTTAGAGGCTTCATTCGACGCAGGTCTCGATGGGACTCTTCACGAGTTGGATTGGTCGGACAGGTCGGTGGACTTTTCTCTCAGGTGTATAACGCTTTTGTGCACCCTATGAATATCCGGAACAGGATCAATTCGAGATCTAGCCCGAGACGAAATGGTACACCTCGTCGTCTTATATGCAGACCATCCCTCAGCAAGTTTTATGCTCTTGTGTGGTACTTCAGCTGCTGTCTTCAGCCTCAGGTCATTGACGCTGCTCGATCATCGATTGACCCATTACAAGGCGCTGGCGGGCTACAGGATGCGTCTATCCCGTGGCAACGCAAAAGGGCGTACAACAGAGCATGTCGCAGGGCCCTACTACATGGTTCGACTACGTACAGAGGCCGTCCTTTCCAACTTCCGGGTAGCATTTCTACACTATGTACCAACACAGGACCCCCAGCCAGAAGAAGACATGGTACTCCCACCGTTGGTCGTCGGCTCAGTGTGCTCACATGGAATTGTGGTGGTGCAAGTGCAGTCTACGATCAGTTTCTGTTATGGCTATTCCGATCAAAAACTGAGATTGCTGTGTTGGTGGAAACGAAGTGGACCTTCACTAGTACTTGGACAGATCAACATTTCCACTATATTCATTCTGGGACCGGGACCAAGGGAGGCAGTGGTGGTGTTCTCGTGATTGTATCCCGTCAGTTGGTTAGTTCAAATGCGCTGCGATTTCACGAAGTCAATCCTGGTCATCTGTTGAGGGTTTCGTTCACTCCACACGGATGTTCAAATGCCTACAACATTGTTGGTATATATCAACACGTGTGGAAGCCGGGTAATCTGTCTATACGACATACGGTGTGGACTCAACTTTCCGGGCTGTGCCACTCCATTCCTAAACGCAGCTGTATGATCATCGCTGGTGATTGCAACGCTACATGCCAGCCTGAAGGACGTTTGGTTGGGTGCGGTGTACCTAACTCTTACGCCGCTGAGGATTCTACAGAGTTGCAAGATATACTGCGCGCGCATGGACTTGTTGCATTGAACACGTTTGGAACAGCACCTGGCTATACTTTCAAGTTCGGACCACGTACATCACAGCTTGACTATATTTTTACTCGTGTTGCTCATGCTGATCGCGATGCCAAACGTGCGCATGCTGATTATGAGTTCTCGGTGGGTCGCCATATCTCGGATGATGCTGCATATCATTTTCCTGTGACTAGTGTGGCCCGCACTTGGCATACACATTCCCATCGTGAACCTCGGACCAACATCGATGTTGCTGCTCTCTCTCAGCAAGTTCAAAAGGGTGAACAGGAACATTTTGCTGCTCTCAAAAATGTGGTCGGTGCTTGGAGTCAAGAATGCGAGATACCATGTGACCCTCAAGCTTGTTTGCAGCAGTTAAATCACTCTGTGCTGACCACTGCAGTGTCTTTGTATCCGGCACGGCGTTCGACCTCATCAGCCCCATGGCAGAATCAACTCCAAACAGGTCGTGCGGCTCGTATGTGGGAGCTTTTTCGTAGGATGCGTTCGTTCCAGGGGACTGAAAGGGGCATCCTTCGGGCTTGGAGATGCTGGTGTTTGTTCAGTCAATTGCATCGTGAACATGGCAAATACTGCAAAATATTACGCAAACAACGCATCACTGATGCTCTCGAGGAGGCTGAACATGCTGCGCAGCGACATGACACATGGGCATTGTATCGCATTGTTCGTCGGTTAGCTCCTAAAACTCCTTCGAAAAAGTTTCAAATCAAGCCGAAAGGACAAATGCTGTCTCCACAGGAGGAACTACAGGCTATGGTGAAGTACTACGAAGCCTTATACGACACTGCAAGAGCGTCTCAGGGTCATGGCGAGCAGAGATTGTCCACCACTTTTCAGGTCAGTGAGGCTGAAATGCGGGCCTACCTTCAGCAGATACCCATGCGCAAGGCGGTGTCATCTGGTTCTGTGCCGGGTGTGGTTTATCGTATCTGCGAGCAGGAACTGGCCCCTGCTCTATGCAAGCTGCTTCGATATATGTGGAGTACTGAGCATCTCATCTTCCCACGTATATGGTGTATAGCCGAGCTCATCTTTCTCCCAAAGCCAGGCAAGAAAACCTCAGAGGTGAAAGACTGGCGCCCTATTGGACTTCAGGATGCGGTTGCCAAGTCCGTGATGCATCTTTTGGTGGATCGTCTCAAACCATATGTTCAGGACTGGGCGAGCTCTTTTCCGTTATACGCCTATATGCCTGGGAGATCAACTCGTCAGGCGCTGCAAGTTGTTTTCTCACACTGTGATGCGGTTAGGCATCTTTGTCAGCAAGAAGCTGATACGATACATCGTCGTTTCGAAGGATGGAGGCCATCGGAACTATGCGGCGGACTACAAGTATGCTTGGATCTCAGTTCCGCTTTTGATCGAGTGCCGTGGCATCACATCCGGGATGCCTTTACACAAGCGCAGGTGCCCCCAGATTTGGCTGCCATTCTATTAGGCTGGCTCAGTTGCTCCGAATACCAAATACACAATGGTGCACATACCTTATGCCTACAGGTGGGACGCGGAGTCAAACAGGGGTGCCGAGGATCGCCTACAATCTTTTTGGCGTTCATGACGCTTATATGTCGACGACTGAACGAAAAACTCGGCCCTCGATTCTGCCAGGAGCACTTGACACAATACGCGGATGACACGCATTCCGCGTGGACTTTTCACAGCTACGAGGAACTTCGCAAGTGTGTTTGGCAACTTTCTGTTATTATGGAAACCCTTGAGGAGTTTGGTATGTCCCTGAATGACGACAAGGCGCAAATTCTCTTCACTGTGAGGGGTACTCTGAAGCAAAAGGCACGCAGCGTTTTTACCACCAAGGTTCGCAACAATCTGGTGTTTGTGATTGAGGGTGAGAAAGGCACTCGACATGTCCCTTTGGTGCGATCTACTGTGTATTTGGGAGCCAAGATTTCATACGACCAGTTCGAAGCGCAGACGATTGCACACAGGATGCAGAAGGCCAATGTTCGATTCTGGCAGTTGCAGAAGTTCTTTACGAGCAAACGAGGTCTTGGTATTCCTCAAAGGATTCGGATGTGGATGGCTACCATTAGGCCGACGCTCATGTATGCAGTTGATTGTTGCTTGGTTGGTCCCACTCTCCAACGCAAATTACAGACTCTCATCATGAAGCATTTCAGAGCCATCTGTTCGTGTCCGTCACACATCTCTCATGTTAGCGACGCAGATCTGCTGGCTAAGTATCGTGTCGATGGTATATCTGACTGGCTGAAGGATGCATGTGACCGCGATGTAAATATCAACGACGCGATTGGCATTTCCACGGCTACACTTGCTGGATGGCATGCCAAAATGAGTGAGACCTTGAAGGCTTCCCAACATCGCCTCACGCACGTGGCCAAAGAGATTCAACCACATGCCTGTCCCATGTGTGGTGTGTATTTTGATTCTCGCAAATCGGTGAAACTGCACATGCATCAGAGCCACAAACCTACTAAATCCAACGATGATTTGCAGCCTCCGAACACTGCTTCTGCTGAACCTTCGGATGATGTGACTCCGACAGTTCCAAATGTCACCGTGACCACGTCAGGGCAGTCCAGTCGACTGTTGAGTGGTGCCCAGACTGCCACGGATGCTGATGCTGATGCTGATGTTGCAGATAGTGTACGAATGTCTACAGCACAGGTTGTCCCGGCAAGAGAGTGTGTCGTGACTCCTTCTACACAATCTCCGGATCTGCCAATGGTTACTGCGAGACAGGGCGGCGCTGGTATGGTCTTTGATCGATCAGTGCACTCCCGAGATGGTCTTCCTACTTGTTCTGGCTGTGGGGCTAAGTTCCGCAGGTGGGATATTCTTCGCAAGCACATCAACAAAGGCTGGTGTCCCGTCTTTGCCAAACATGATGCACCTGCTGTATCCGCACTTAGTGATGTGAAGGCGCTTGCAGTACAGGATCATGTCCCGATAACACAGCGTTCTGAGGTGATCCAGGCTATTACTGATCGCGGGCTTGAGGGGTTGCGTCTTATACCCGGCCTATTCCAGGAGATGCAAAACAGGTGCGTCATTTGCCACACATGGATTGCTCATACCTTTATGATGAAGAATCACTATCGCAATACACATGGTGATCGATGGGATGAACTTAGCTCTTACTCCGATGAATTTCGGCGTCATCATGCACAGATTTTGTCACCATGTCGCTATTGTGGTGTGGTTCGAGTCGGTGGGCAGGGTGCAGCCACAGCGCATTCCAAACAGTGTACGCCACTTTTTCAGTGTGCGGTCTTGTGTCATGACCATGGACGTGGATCGGGCGGGACAGCTCGAGGAGTTCTTCGGAGGACTGGCGAACTCGGACATTCCCATGCTAGGGGAGGCGATCAATCAAAAGCGCCAAGCAGATCGTCAGAGCCTACCCAACAAGGCACCGAGGACACCGGCAACGCCACAGCACAAGGGCAAAGGAAAAGGAAAAGATCAATCCAGAGGATCAAAACAAGGACAACAACCACAGACGGAACTGCCGATCGAGCAGTTGATGGAGATTGTTCGATTATTGGTTCGCACATCGGTGCGGCACGAAGATGCTATTCAGACTCTCCGCCTCGACACAGGCCTGGTATGGTTTGTGAAAACAGGGGACGGGACTCCGGACACTACTTCGATCATTCCGTACTTGCAGGCCGTGGCTGCGAAATGGCATGGAAAGGAAAACACCGAGATGTCGGATCGACCACTTCGGGAGGTTATGTTCATGGCCATTCTGCAGAGGTTGTTGACAAAGCTGGACGAGGTCGCCAAGGATCAGGCTGTGGCGCTTCGGTGCCAGCAGGCGGGTTGGCTCACCACGGAGCAAAAGTGGGTTTATCAGAAGTGGTGCAAGGAAACTCGTACCCTGGTACAAGACAAGACCAAGGTCCCGGTACTGCATCAAACATTGGTTACATCGATCAGGAACATGCTTCGTATGGTGGACGAGGGCCCGGTGCTACATCGATTCTGCTCCACACGCAAGCTGGATCAGTACGAGACCGGAGTGGCAGTGTTTGTTCAGGACCTGTCGATTCGAGATCCCAACGGCACCCAGGTGTATCAGGGGTTGTTGGACTACCAAGGCAATACGGCGTGGCAACTTATAGGCGCGCAGTACAGGAAGGAGAATTTGCAGCGAGCCCCGGCAGTTCAAGAACTCCTTCGCAGACTGGCAAACGTCTAATCCAGGCGATGCAGTTGTGCAATTCCTCCAACCACTGCTACATTAATTCCTGGTTCAGGTCGATGTATTGGACTACGGTGGCAGGCTCATCCGATCACACTGGCCAGAATCCTCAGGCTCATATGCACCCTTTACAACATGGCTTTGCGGAAACTTGCGCGAAGGTCGAAAGGGGACATCAGGTGCGACTTTTGGCTCAAAATGCTTGTCGCGATCTGTTGCGAGCTTGGGATTCGCCTGATGATCAACATGACGTTGTTGAGTTCGGGACCTATATTTTGACTCAGGTCGGGGCTATACACCTGTTGGGGTCATGGCAGGTCAGAACTCAGGAGGCCAATCGAATCGTTGTGCATGACACTGGACATGTGATGACGCTACACCCGACAAGGAACCGATCCTCCATCCATATGATGATCTCACATTGGGAGGTGGCTACACATGCAACTGTATGCGCTTTTCATCGGCCACCCCATATTGTCCTGATGCAGGTTATGCGATTCCGGAATGATTCAGCGGGCCGTCTGAGAAGAATTGATTGACAACTTCAACATACCGGTATTCTCTGATGATCATGGGTCGAATGTCCACTATGTACTTTACAAGCCAGTTGCAGTGATTTGTCATCGCGGTCGTACTCCGATGAGCGGACATTACACCACTGTGCTTATTGATGATTTCTGCATGTGGCATTGCGATGACAATGTAGCTCCGGAATGCATTGTGCACCCAACGTCGCAACATTACTCTGAAGTGTATGCTGTGTTGTGTATTCGAGCTGAGAGTTGAGTGGAGGTGCACTGTAGTTAGTTGTACCTACTTTCGCTGTGATCAATCGCATCATGCTCACTAGGACCTTACGAGGTAGCTGTTCCCTGGGCATGGGGGGTGGAATTGCCACCTTCGCATCTTCAAGGTGCCGGGCTGATGCCTGCCGTACGAGCCCTGTCGCAAGGCATTGACATGCTGCGTGCAAAGTGACAAAAGATCCTGAGGGAAGCCACCGGAGCATCACGAGGATAGGCTCGGCGATCCCTTGTAGGATAGCCGGCAATACCGTCGCCATCTCCAACTGTTCGGAGTACACGACGGTTTGCCCAGGACGCACTTTCCTGGTACGAGGACAGGTCAGGAACGCCAGCGCGGATGTCAACCTTGAAGTTGCATCCAGTAGTCGGTGTCCAGTAGACCTGAATTGGTGCCTCCTCATGAGAGGAGCGTCCAGTGTCCATCGAGGGTCCTGCCGCAGCCATGCTGGTAACAGAAGAAGAGGAAGTTGTGGGCTACTTTCTCACTTGAATTTTGAACCAGCTGATTTGAGCAGTGCAGGCACAAATTTAAAAAGAGACCAACAACTCTTCATGAAACACATGCACTGAATTGCTCTGACAGCTCACACATGAAGCAGAAATGACTCACAGACGCTCCTGCATGAACATGACATGTTGCACTGCACTCAAAGCCGCGTACTCCTTACGGAGCCAGGCGTTCAAGAAGGCTTTGTGCTCAATCATGGAACGAAAAGGAGGATGTGAATCGATTTCCTTCAACCACCCAGTTTGAACAGAACTCAGAAGGTTTCTGGGATTAGCGCTTCGTTTCGTGAGACAGTCAGACAAACAATGTTCGGTTCGAACGTGAGAAAGATCAGCAATAGCCCCTGAGCAAGCTTCCTTTCTCAACATTTGAATCATGTGAATGGTTTCCTGTTGTTCGGGTGAGTGAGTAGTAGAGGCGGTAGACACGAGATTGTTAGCATCGGTGCGAATGTGAATCTCGGCGTCCAGACCACTAATATCTTTCCACAAACCACGAAGCATCTGACAGGTACCAAAACACTTCATCAAAGCATAAAGTTCAGCGACAGTGGTACTAAGGGTCGTTCTCTTAATCTTGGTTGATTCGAAGAAGACCAATGAGCCTCTGGTGTCCCTTCGATTCTTGACCTTCTCATCAGCGATGAAGATAGTCATCGCCCTCTGTGAAGACTTGTCGCTGTTGTTACGGAAAGCTGCGTCAGGAATTCCAAGAATCCTCGGAGATCCCTTCACTGGCCACACCCGCAACTCAACCTCTTCACTGCGTATCTGTCGACACAACTTGTTCAACTCCTTGCAGTGACCGACGGTCGGAGCAGCAGATATGCCAGTCCGGGGCTAACCGGGTCCTTTCCGTTATGGAACCGGGTCCTAGGATTTATGTTGCTGACATGATGGACATGTAAGAACACTTGTATATAGGACACGTGTTGCTGACATGATGGACATGTAAGAACACGTGTATATAGGACACGTGTTGCTGACATGATGGACATGTAAGAACACGTGTATATAGGACACGTGTTGCTGACATGATGGACATGCAAGAACACGTGTGATGGACATGTAAGAACACGTGTATATAGGACACTTGTTGCTGACATGATGGACATGTCAGAACACGTGTATATAGGACACGTAAAGCAACATGTCTGATGTCGTGCTGAAGGGGGGGGGCAGGACGGAAAACAAATGCAACTACTGCAGCAACATTGGGCCTACGTCATGTGTGTTCTTGTGGCTCTATGGAAAGAGCGAGATGCTGGACATGTATAAAAAGATGTGTGCTTGTGGCTCAATAGAAAAATCAATGCCTGAAAAACTTGGTTTGTTCGAAATGTGAAAACATGTACATCGAAAAATCAAAGCCATACTGACATAATTGCCTGTCCCAAGTTTTGTAGTTCACATGGAATTTCTTTGTTGCAAGATATTTTTGAAGTTATTTTGAAGATTCGTTTGTGCCGAGCAAACCAAACAAATGCAACTTGGTGTTCTTGTGGCTCAACGAAAACAAGAAGCTTGAGATTTTGTGTTCTGAAACCCTAAAGTCAGCTTTTTGTACGATTCACAACGACTTGAAAATTAGCGTGTGTGTTCATGATTAAACATGAAGGGAATCTAAGCTTTCGTAACGTCCAGCTCATGCCCTAAACCCTGGACCCTAAACTGTAATCCCACCCAACCCCCAAACCCGCCCACCCACTCCTGCAGGTAGGTATAGATAAGTAGATAGGCAGGAGGGAGGTACTTGTAGGTCTAGGTGCACCGGCAGGCTTCCAGGTCTCTAGATAGCTAGGTAGGCGGGCATGTAGGTAAGGAGGCATTGATCAGGAAAGAAGTTTAAAGGTAGCAGGCAAAAGTAGTTGTAATTAGGCATTCGCGCAGGCTCTGTCAGGATGTCAGGTCGCCACATCAGGGGTCTTCGGAGCCCCGTACAGGGGCGTACCCGCACCAAGCCCTTGAAGGGGCGAATAGGGGTGAGTTGGACCCCGAACAGGGGTCGTTAGAGCCCCGCACAGGGGCGTCCGATGAACCCCGAAAAGGGTGAGCCTGGACCCTGAACAGGGGTCGTGAGAACCCCATGCAGGGGTGTGGATGAACCCCGAACAGGGGTGAGGATGAACCCCGAGCAGGGGTGAGCCGGATCCTCAAAGACAGATGCAGAGAGAAAGAGAGAGAGAGAGAGAGAGAGAGAGAGAGAGAGAGAGAGACAGCGAAAATAATTAACGAAGCAAGGAAGGAAGCAAGGAAGGAAGGAAGGAAGCAGGGAAGGAAGCAGGGAAGGAAGAAGGAATGATCAAGATGAGGGTGTGACTGTAGATGCGAGGAATGAGCAGGCAGCAAGGAGTGATGTGAGGGAAGGAAGAGGCAGGAAAGTCATGCATGGATTCAGTATCTCTCTGCTCACTTTCCGTCTGTCGCCGGCCAACCAGGCTGAGACAGTCTGCGCATCGAGATCCTCGAAGAGCCCCGGCCTAAGCCACACCAAGACTTGACTGCTGCACCGTCGGTTGCTTCCAAGCTCAACATGTTGGACTGCAGCAGCTTTTCATCTCAAGATTCAAGGAAATCGCACCGTTTTTTTCTTGGCGCCACTAGCGCCATGACTGAGCAAGTGTACACCGACGCGGAATGGGCGGCTTGGCGTCGAAGTCAAAACCCTGCAGGAAGCCACGACGACACAGAGACGGACCCAACGAAGCAAGGCTTCACAAAGGAACTCCGACCCCTTCCGGATGAATGGAAAGTTGAGTGGAAGAAAGCTGAGAAGAACATGCAGCACTCAGCCAATGACTTCAGCGGTATCAGGCGCCTCTGCAACAGAAGGTTGCAACAGATGTACAACCAATGGAAGAATGAGGTGGAGCAGACGGAGAAGCAGGATTCGGCTTTCAACAAGCTCGCCATCATGACGCATAACAAGGACCGCATGGAAATCGAACGCTTGAGGGAGGTTGAGAAGGAAGCGATTTGGACGAAGAAAATGTACGAGGCGAAGATTGCGGACGACAAGAAGAAGCACGAGGCCGAACTGGCAGCTGTAAAGAAGAAAGGCGAGGACATGCTGGACGAACTGGAGAACACGTATGAGAGAAACAACCAGGAAAAGGCTAAGAGGCTGTCCATCACGGAAGATACGTACAGGTACAAGTTCGAGGATAGCCAGAAGGAGATGAAGGTACTGACTGCCATGTATGAGAACAAAATCAAAGAGATGAACGCCGAGCACCAGGCACAGATGGCGAAAGAGAAAGAAGAGAACAAGAAAAGTTCGACGAGAAGGTTTCCAAAGCCCAGACGGACATGACAAACAAGTTCAAGAGCAGGTTGAAGAGGCTCGAGGATGCACAGGGCAAGTACAAAGAGAAAGTCCTCACTGCAACGGGGCTTTGGAGACAGACACTGGCAAGGAAAGAGGATGAGGTCCTGCGGCTCCGGCTACGACTCCGCTTGCAGGAACCCGCGAGCTCGGCGCAGCAAGACAACGAAGAGAAGCTCAAGGACAGTAAGGCTTGGCCCGACAGTTCATTTGTCAGTTGTTCAGTCAGTGAAATGCGCATCTCTGACAGGAGAGTTTGCATCCCACGTCCCCGACGGTCGTTTTCACCCCGACCTCTCCCGCACGCAGCCCGAGCCTTGGTTTCATCACCGCAACCTTGTGCGACCCCAACTTCGCAC